ACCGCCCTGCTTGTATGGGTAATTTTTTTTCTCTCCAAGTTATAACAATACAAACCCTCTCCATATTAATGCATGCTTCAATAAATACTAATCTTTTATGATAATGTATAATTTGAATAGAATTACTCGAGCTTATATGTTATATTCTCCTGATTTATATAAGGAATTTTTACACCCTATAGAAAACCTTAGTACCCTATTTATTTTAAATAAAACCATTTTAAAATATTACATCCTATAGATACCTTTTATACTTTATAGCCAAATATCTAATTATAGTTACATCCTACATTTAAGGCATCATATATGCTAAATAATATTTTTCTCTCTCCTTTTTAGTCTTTTCTCTCACATAATCACCGTAAAATTGACTAACCACGTTCTCTCTCTCTTTTTGCATACACTTTACTCTTTCTCCCTCAACCCACGATTTATACCTCTTCTCCCACCCAAATTCTCTAGTTCTCCTCCATTATCACTCCATTACAATCGCTTAGGGTAAGTTTAATTCGTTGATTTTGATAGACGAAGAGCAATTGGTTCAACTGTAGCGGCTCGATTCTGCATGGCAGTGGTCGTCGAAGTAGGGTTCACAGCTTTTGCGTAATTCATGGCTTCGTTTGTGGGATTTGAGGGCTGGGGATTGTTTGTAGTTGTTGTAGGAGGTTGGGCAGATGTGTTAGGGGGCTGACCAGCCGGAATTAATGGCTGGCCGCCGGCCGGCGAAGCCATAAGGCTGTTTCTCTCTCTAGATCGCCCAAATCGCCTATTTGTATTCAGTTGTATTCGAATGTATATTTCAGCTGTATTCACATGTATTCAGCAGCATTCATTTATATATTTTAGATGTATTAAAAAGTTATGCGTATTCTCTTGTATTCAGTTTTAATCAGTTGTATTTAACTATTTTATTCAGCAGTAGTTAGTTGTATTCAAGTGTTTTATACAACTGTATTCAGTTGTAGTTAGTTATATTCAACTATTTTATTCAGCAGAAGTTAGTTGTATTTTGTTGCATTCAAGAGTTTTATTCAGCTGTATTCAGTTGTATTTTGTTGTATTCAAGTATTTTATTTAGATGAATTAAGTTGTATTTTGTTGTATTCAACTGTATACAGTTCTACTCAACTGTATTATTCATATGTATTTCTCTTTATTCAGCTATAATCTTTATTATGTATCTTTCAAATACAGATTAATGAGGGATCGTTTTAGTTCGTTGAGTTAAATTAGGAGAATATCATGTGATTTAATTTCCTTCCGTTTTTAACCAGTTTAACCTTCCAGATTTTGCGCAGATACGTTACTGTATTTAACGTTAATGCCGCTTGAATACAGCTAAATACATGTCAAACTTAGCTGGAATTCCACTTTTTACGCCTATTTTTTTTGTTGTATTAATGAATACAACAGCTTAAATACATGAAATACATTGTATAAAAACATAAAAGGTATCTATAACACATAATATAGCAAAGGGTATCTATAAATGGCTAATTAGACCTAAAAGATGGTGCTTTATGAAAAATTCTCTTAATACATTCGTGTGAAAATGACTCCAGGTAGCTACTTTTAAGCATGATGTTTAAAATAAATTCACAGTATACAATTCATTTAAAGATTAGCCAATTTTCGCTCAAAATTCAAGACATGGCGTCCTAGAACTTATACCTCAAAATTCAAGCTTCAGGACATTGTGTCCTAAATTTCGAAAATTGTGTTCAGGAGTTCGAATCTTATATCCTGAATTTTAAAATTAGTAGTTCCAAAAATCAGGACACTTAATCCTGAATTTCAAATGAGCGGCTCAAAAATTCAGGACACTAAAAGTCCTGAATTTCCAACTTTAAGATACTTAGTCCTGAAGTTTGGATGAACTGGCTAATCTTTATATATAATATAAATTCTAGATATATTTTCAATAGCGGACTTAAAAGTGGCTATTGCTGCACTTCTCCCTACTTTTGTCCACAATTACAAAAAGGGCTTTATTTTTTGAGGAATTTTCAGAAATGACTATTGTTTTGTGGTTATTAACTTCCTATAGGTACCATATACATAATTACTTTCCATAGCTACCTTTCAGTTGTTATGGTAATGTATTCTATGTATTCGAGCTACTGTAATAGGCTAATAAATAGGGTAATCCAGCTGCCAGCCGCTGTATTCACATGTATCCATACCATGTATTCATGAATACAACGTAATAATAGGTCTCTCAAGTTGTTTAATAACAAAAAGCTGCTAATTTAACGGGATACACTCCTAATATAACTCACATAAATCAATTATAACACACAACGTTATCAATCCAATTGATTAGAAGATTTATTAGACGCTAAACACCAAAAAACAAAGAATTCTTCAGAGTTTTAGTCCCTCTTTTTTTTTGACATTGTTCGAGGTTCTGCTCGGAATTGATACAAGTATCTACAGAGATATTTTGAATTTTGATTTTCTGTATATGAATACATCATGTATTTATGCCAGATACAACCTGTAATAGTAATCTACTGCCTGCATATTTCATAATAAACATAGTGCTTGTATTCTATTGTATCTAACAGTTGTGTCCAATGTATTCAAGTTTATTTTTGTATTCACAATATTTTATTTATTCCGAATACATGTTATTACTGCTTTATTGAGTATATTTTATTGGTTGTATTCATTGATTTTCTATTTGTGTTGAGAGTATTTACTGTATTTTACTGTATTGTTGTTTTAAATACAGATGGATACAGTTAGGTTTAAAATACAGATGAATACATCTAGATTGAATGCATAACTAATTGATGAATAACATCAAAATGATAGAACTAACAATGTATTTAAAAATATTGTTGCAAGAACTCAAATACATATAAATACAACAGTCAAAAATCACTGTACAAATAAAAATCAGTGTATGACTTATCGAATACATCTAAATACAAGAAGAGAAAACCACTGTAGAAACTAAAAGTCAATGTATGCGGATTCGAATACATATAAATACATCTACAATTAGGGTCATTGCACATTTTTGTTCTCTTTTCGGCTTCAATGGTTGCTGATGAACCTGCAAATGCAGGTTCCTCTTGAGTGATTTGTAAATCGAAAGATGGCCCTTCGACATTGAGTGCTTTAGTGGGTATTTTGCAGAAAACCTAACAATGGTGGATATTTTTTTTAAAAACTGTTGAAGAGAAAAAGAAGAAGCTTTAACCGGCCAAAAATTCAAAAACTTTAGTGGTGAGTGGTGAAAATTTGTGTTAATGATTTACGACTTACACAATTTCATAGTTCTTGACAGAAGCAAGAAATCATGAATCAGAAGGGAAAAAACTTGGTATCACGCCTCCACGTCCTGTGGAATTGGGAAAGAACAATTTTGAAAAGGATGTTAAAAAAACTTGCAGGAAATCATGAAAAAGCTCATTGGTTTCATGGCTGTAGAGTAGTGATAACCATGAAAATCATGGAAAAGCTCACCGTCTTTCGGGAAAAACCAGTTTTCTGGTTCATATAGGAAAGAATGAGAGAGAGATCGTGGAGAGAGAAATAAAATACTATGCATGATTTTGGGAGAGAATAAACTGAAAGAATGAGAGAGAAAACCAAAACCAAGAGACAACACAACTATAACGCAATCTCTTCCAAATCTAGACGAAGATTACCTATTGAATGAGGTCTCTTCTAATGCTGCTTCCAACTCAGCCTACTTCATTTGATTCTCATCGTTTTGTAGTATAACTATGAGTCTTTAGGGAGGTCTATAATTTAATACGATATGTGATTCGACATTTACGGAGAAAATAAAACTTTTAAAATTTATAGCCTTAAACATATTATAGTATATTAGACAGCGTATTTAATGGCTTAACAGTAGGAAGTGACCATAAATACATATTTTGCAATAAAAAACTAAAGGTAGTTATAGAAAAAAATATTTTAAAAGGGCTTTTATTTATAATAAATAGGGAGTAAAGCTTTGCGAGGTAAAATTGCCTTTTTTTTTAGCGTCTCGTTAAATTAAGATTATTTCGTTTCCTTACTTATCAGAGAGGGGCCCGCGGGGCTTATGTATTAAAAAAGGGGGAGTGAGGGGGGGGGGGGGGAGGAAAAATGGAAAGTCCTCACTTTATTGATGGGACATACCCAGTAAAATCTCACTAGTGGAGTCTGGGGAGAGTAGAGTGTACGCAGACCTTACCCCTACCCCGAAAAGGACAGAGAGGTTGTTTCCAGGAGACTCTCGGCCCAACAGGAAAGACAAATTTCATGTTGTAACAAAAAGAGTATTTTCATGTTGTAGAAATAATACTTTCTTTTTCAACCAAAAGAAAGAGTATTTTTTTTAGTTGTGGAGCACAAATTTCAATGCTTTTTTTTTTTTGCATAAAAAAGTAAAGCAACACATTAGTTCATTTGGGTTTGTGTGAATTTTTAGAAGAATAATTAAATTTCGAAAGAAAATAGAGTCATAAAAATGTCGGGTATTTGGGGGGGGACCACAGGAAATATAGGACTTGGGGGAAGGGGGTGAGGAGAGTAGAAAATATTTTCCGGAAAAAGGTTTTCACTAACAAGCCAAACAAGGAAAAATAAGTGATAAAACCACTCATTTTCCATAAAACTATTTTTCTTCATCCCAAACATGCCCTTAATCTAGAATGATTTTGATGTCATCATTATATTTTGTTACTTTAAGTGCACGTGAAAATAGGGATTTTTACCTAGCTATACTATAATAGAAACCTATTTACTACCTTTATTTAGGTTCCTTATTAATTATTTTATATACATATATTTACTAACTTTATACAAAACCATAAAAAGGAGGAAATGAAACATACCTTAAATATTGGGTATCAGTTACACATAATCCCCTACATTTAAGATACTCTTCCTTTTTCCAAGAAAAACTATATCTGTCTTTGTACTTACCCAAAATCATCACCTCTCTTTGTACTTACCCAAAATCATCACCGTAAGAAACCCACTGAACCCCAAAATCATCACCTCTCTTTGTACTTACGCACAGTAAGAAACCCATTAATACCCATAATCTTTCTAACCCAAAAATATCGCTTACTCACTCCTCTTCCACTGTTATCCCCCCAAAATTGCAGATTCTTTCCTCTTCCAAGGCTGTTGATATACGATTTCTCTCTTTAATCGTCCAAAATCTCTTTCTTATTTATACAATACAGAAGAATTCGAAGATTTGTTCTACAATCAAGTTGTGGGTAAGCTTCACTCTACATTAAAGTTTGGTTATATGTGGAACTTCATAATGAAACTCGAGGAAGATGAAGTTTCGGAATTGTATTACGATTGTATGATAAAGGTATCAAAATTGTATCTGAGTTGTATTTGATACATCAATACCTAAGACAATTTTGATACAATACTAATACTATTAAAATACAATGTTGTATTATAATTTAAGTTTAGAGTTAGTTCTAGGTGGATGTTTTAAATTGAAACTTGAAAAAGATGAAGATCAAAGTTGTATCACAATTTGTACCTAAAACAATACATGATACAATACTAATACAAGTATAATACGATATTATATCAGTTTAAGTTTAGAGTCGGTTTTCAGTTGTATCATAATTGTATCAGAATTGTGTAAGAATTCTTTCAGGATTTTATCAAATTTGTATTTGAATTATGAGCAGTTGTGAGATCGTGACGAATTTCAAAGTTTGTATCACAAATATATGTTAATTATATATTAATTTATTAGTATTATGTCAGGTATTATTTTGGATATTAAAG